TAATGTTGTGATAATGCGCTATATAAATAAAATTGAATTGAATTGAATTGAATTTTTCAAGGCACTGTATTTATGCCATATACAGCCAGTTCCAAGGTACTATCTTAAATAATGTAGTTTTTTAGTCTTATTTACAGTTGAAACCAAAAGTTTACATACACTGTATAAAAAGACATATAACTCTTTTTCTTACTGTCTGATATTAAATCATACTAAACCCTTTCAGTTTTAGGCCCATTCGGACTCCCAAAATAATTTCTATTTGCTAAATGTCAAAATAATGTGTGAGAGAATTTTTTAGAGATTTTTTTATTACTTTCTTCAATGTCAAAAGTTTACATACACTAAGATTACTATGCCTTTAAACTATTTGGGAAAGCCCAGATGATGATGTCATGGCTTTGGAAGCGTCTGATAGGTTAACTGACACCACTTGAGTTGATTGGAGGCACACCTGTGGATGTACACCTCAACACACTGCTTCCTTTTGTGACACCATGGGAACGTCTAAAGAAATCAGCCAAGACATCAGGAAGAGAATTGTGGACCTCCACAAGACTGGTTCATCCTTGGGAGCAATTTCCAGATGCCTGAAGGTGCCACGTTCATCTGTTCAAACAATTATACGCAAGTATAAACAACAAGGGAATGTCCAGCCATCATACCGCTCAGGAAGGAGACGGCTCCTGAGTTCAAGGGATGAATGTGTTTTGGTGCGGAATGTGCGTATCAATCCCAGAACAAAAGCAAAAGACCTTGTGAAGATGCTGGCTGAAGCTGGTAAGAGTGTATCACTATCCACAGTGAAACGAGTCCTGTACCGACATGCGTGGAAAGGCTACTCAGTGAGGAAAAAGCCATTACTCCAAAAGCGACATAAAAAAGCCAGGTTACACTTTGCAAATACACACAGGGACAAAGACCCTAATTTCTGGAGACATGTCCTTTGAAGAAAGTAATAAAAAAAATCTTTAAAAAATTCTCTCACATTATTTTGACATTTAGCAAATAGAAATTATTTTGGGAATCCGAACGGGCCTAAAACTGAAAGGGTTTTGTATGATTTAATATCAGACAGTAAGAAAAAAAAAGTTATATGTCTTTTTATACAGTGTATGTAAACTTTTGGTTTCAACTGTATATATAATATTGGAAAAGCCATGCTGTTAATTGGTTTCATTTATATTAAATTTTTGTAGCTCTTTGGTATAGTGGTCTGTGTCTGTGTCTTTTTGGTTTGGGTTTGAATCCCATGGCCAACAGAGTGACTGGAAAAAGCTATATAACCTATTATACAATTAATATACCTGGGTATAATGATATTGGTTATAATACATAATACATGAGTGCTCAAGTAGGCCGTTTTTTTCTGTCTGCAGAATGTTTCTGCTGGAACATTTTTGGAAGAAGAGGGCTGCTTCTCTCCACGTAACTTTGATATTGACCTCCAAGAGCCCTTCTTCAGTGATCCCACTCCAATTCCACAGTCTCTGGACAATGAGTTGGAGGACTGGAGTGGAAGCTACCGGCCCTCTGCCACTGAGGTTGCACATGAATTCAGACTGGAAAGCAGTAGTTTTTCAGCACTATCCTCACAGGTCACAGATGAGGGGGAGGAAACTGAGCCTTCTTGGCTTGATGAAAGGTACTTACAGGATAACTGCCAGACTAGGAAGAGCACAGAAAACTATGAAGAGGAATTGGAGATCTCCACTGAAGATGCCCTGTTCCAGAACAAGAACTCAAGCTGGAGTCTTCAAAAGGTTGTACTTTTCTTTTTCTTTTTCTTTTCTTTTCTTTTCTTTTCTTTCTAATAGAGAAAGGATCAACTTGTTTTATAGAGAGGAAGAATATATCTGAAAATGTTTGTTTTCATTCCCAAAAATTATCCTGCAATTTTGTACTGGCTAAGCATTTGGAAGATGAATGTATATCCAGCATTACTTTATTTTAAAAAAATACATGAAGATTGGCATACAATAGTTTTATTTGTGATCGTTTTCAGCTGAGACAAGAGAATACACAACTGAGGAAACATGTGAAAGAGCTGCTGAGAAGGTCTGAGGCTGATAATCACAGGTAGATTGGATTGAAGTACAGGAACATTAGAATGTGATGAACTGGCTGCATGGGGAAAGTGTTGCCGCGATATAATTCATATTGCCATACTCCTGATCATATGGTTGCACTTAACATCTACAGAAACATATCTTGAACTAGGTGAACTCCAGCTGTTGATGGACATAAATGTATTAATTATGTGACTTTCACAGGATTCGCCAAGTGATGGATGAGTTGCATAAACGAAGAATGCAGGAGGAAAAGGAAGCACAGGACTTAGAGACCATGGTGCACTCTGTGGAAAGGAACCTGCAGCAAATGACGGTACAAGCCTTTTCCTTCACACAAGGGTGTATAAATATGTAGCAATTTCAAAAGTACCATTACGCAACAGGCCTAACTAAGCAGGACAGTTTTCTTGGCAATAAAGCCAAGCAATGAGTTAAATCAATGGGTATGGGTTTTGAATATTGGATTGGAGGGTTAATTATTGAAAGATCTCCATGTAAGCAGAGGGATGGAGATAGGGGAATACTACAGTTGAATCTAAGAGAAATTCTGTTAATGACATTTTGCCAGAAATGTTGAGTAGGAGGGCTGAACCAGGTAGAATGATAATAATCATATTGGGTGTTTGACGTTCAGTGTACGCATATGTCAGACTTTGTAAGACCTACCTTATACATCATGTGCTGGGTGATGTGAGTTCTATGAATTACCTTGTACTGTATTAGATGTAAATTTGTGGTGTTAGTCATTGTGAAGTTGTTCCTGCACATTTGGGTCCAGAATTCAGAATTGGTTGAAATTTCTTCTTACAGTGCTTTAATTGGGATGGAAATGATCGCATCTGCGGTTGATATTAGTTTGTACTATTTGGAAAGGGTTTCTTTTGGTCAGTTATTTTATTGATAGGGTGGGAAAACTGTTATTTGATATATTGACTTTAGATTTTAAAACAGACTTGTAGAAAAAATTAGCTCAAGTAATTTTAATATCTCTACCCATGTGTAGGGGAATTAAATACATTTTAATTATTTATTATTTGATGATGATTATTAAACTAATTGTTATGCCGAATGATTGGATCCTTAAACTCAGTTGCGGAAACCCAGTGAGTCTGTTAATGTGACACTTAAATGGGATTCACTAATAATCACTAGAGTTAATATAATAAAGTATAGGTTGTTAGAATGAATGGGAGTTGGTTTACTTGGTTGTAGAGTGGAGGGGGTCTTGGCAGTAGGTTGCAGAAGTGTTGAGCTGAGGGAATGGTGACACTCAAGAAGGCACTGCATTTGGAGCGGTTGTTGGAGTGGAGCCCCTTGGATTTTCTCTCCTTGTGAAGCTTTGAGGTGAAAGGCTTTGTCTTGGGGTTGGGTATTATTCAATTCAATTCAATTCAATTCAATTTTATTTATATAGCGCATTATCACAACATTACATTGTCTCAATGCGCTTTACATTTAGACCTTCACTGGCAGGCTTCTCTACTGGGCTTCGTGGTGTTCTGCCGATTTCTTGATGGTTTTCTGGAGGGCTTTTCGCGCGCTCTTTGCGGTGCCAGGTTTTATGGTTCATGAATAGGGATGACCAGGAACCCGACATCTGAACCAATGGCTGGCCATCTAGTTAGCGGGCTTTCGGAGGGGTGTCTGTTCAGTCCTTTTGGCATTTACAACTAGACTGATGCCACTTTACCGATGATTGTCATTAACCCTCTGGAGTCAACGACATCGTCAGCGATGCTGCGTATCTTTCTCGTGTATTTCAGTTCATAACCTGCTGAAATCTTTAAAGAAATTATAGAATCATGAAAAAAAACGCTGGATAAATGCGTAATCTGTCTTCTTTTCAAAACGTCTGTTGTCGGAAGTATTAAAGTCTTTAAAATTAGGTTAAATCAGCAAAAAAAGTAAACTTTGTTTTACCTGCATCAGAGGCGTGTAGTACCACTGTCACCCGAAGATCGCTATTCACATTCTAAATAGCTGCATTAGCATGTATTCAAATCGCATTTGCATGGTAATTTGTTGAACAACGCAACGGTGAAACACGATCCAGATACATCCCCATCAGTGCCAGTGGGGGATGTGGCCAGGTGTCAATGGCTCACTCATACACATGAAAGTTGCTACATATTCAATGAAAGGAGCCAGAAATAGTGACATGAGTTTTTTCTTATTTATTTATCCAAATGAATATTGCAACTACACCATTTAGTCGTCTTCATGTAGCCAAGACTTTGGTGATCAGATATCTGGGATCAAAACAAACTGCCAGCATTGCTTACTATGTAGTTTTATAATGTTTCTGCAAGTGTTCCAAACTGCATTTTGCAATGTCTATACTTTGATGTCAAATTACAAACTTCACATAAATCTGACATATTTACAAAGTACACTAAGATTAAGATGAGTTTGTTGCCAAACCAAATATATAAGAAATAATTTATTTGCCATGAAATAAGTTTATGATATTGAATGAAACGTGTGACCATGCCCCAAATCAGTGAAAGTGTGTCTCCTACTCCTAGACTCCAGAGGGTTAAAGGAGCGTAACTTTTGATCCATACAATTTCATGATAAACACTGACCAGACTTCAAGAATTCAAGAGTGATTTTCCATCAGCTTGACACCAAACATGCCATACCAGCCTGGAGGTTCACACCTCATACCATTAATTAACAATTTCTTACATTGTGTATGTTTATGACTCACATCGGTATACAGTGTAGGTGTTTTGTGTTGCAGATCAACAGATGTTGCCACTTTGGGTAAGTTGTGCAGACATTACACTGCATATTCACATCAAAACAGCACATTGTAAACTGTTGGAATAGGCCGTCTCCACCGGGTCCATGGATGAGAAGAGATTCACAGCTGACACGGGGAGAAGTTGCAAATCACCGGTTTATTCTCTTGACTGATTATAATCAGGGAGCGACCATCTGACATACATTCAGCATGTACAGGAGGAGACTCTGCCATATGTATCAGCTGTATCCCTTTTAAAGCCCTTTGGGCATTTCCCCCCCTTTCTCGGTATGTTTGACATTTACTCTAGTTAGTCGGTTAGTACTTGTCCTTGTGGAAGGCTACAGATACGTAAGGGCCGCTGAC